GTGGAGTTAACCAGCAAGGTTGAACCCTTTCGTGTTGGTTGGGTCACATATGCAAATGAAGTCTTGATGTGGGACTCCAACTCGGGAAAGCTTTCAGACTTTACTTGTCATTTCTCCTTCAGCATTAATGCGTCGAGTCCAAATATGACCAACGATGGAATTGAGTTCTTCCTTGCTCCTGTCAGATTTCAAATCCCACCCAACTCTGCTAGTGGCTACCTTGGCCTATTCAACACCACAACAAGAGATTCCTCCTCAAATAGGATCATCTTAGTGGAATTTGACACTTACCAGCACCTTGAATGGGATCCTATAGAGGTCCAAACTCATGTGGGTATCAATATCAATTCTATATGCTCTGTCGTTTACACTCCCTCGAATGCAAGTTTCCACATTAGGGATACTACTGATATATTGATTACTTATAATTCTACAACCAAGAATTTAAGTGTCTCATGGAGCTATCAAAACACCAAAAATCCTCAAGAGAATTCAACCCTTTATTACCTAGTTGATTTAAGGAATGTTTCAAACAATTGGGTGACAATAGGCTTTTCAACTTCTACAGGAGGTGTAGCTGGACAACACACACTCAAATCTTGGAAATTCAATTCAAGTTTTAATGCTAAGGAAACCAATGAGAATTCATCAAGAAAGATCAAAATAGTTGTTGCTATTGTAGTACTGGTGATTGTTCTTCTCATTGGAACACTTTTAGCATATGTGATTATAAGGCAAAGAAAGAAGGTAAATAAAAGGGCAGAGGTAACAAATTTAACATCTATCAATGATGATTTTGAGATGGGCACCGGACCCCGAAGGTTTTCATACCAAGATCTTGCCTCTGCTACTAACGATTTCTCTCAAGATAGGAAATTGGGTGGAGGAGGTTTCGGTGCAATTTATAGAGGCTATCTAGCCGACGTAGACATGTTGATTGCTATAAAGAAAATTTCTAAAGGATCAAAACAAGGAAAAAAGGAGTATGCAACAGAGGTGAAGACCATTAGTCAATTAAGGCATCGAAATTTGGTGCAGCTTATTGGTTGGTGTCATGAAAGGAGTGAGTTCTTGCTTGTTTATGAGTTCATGTCAAATGGTAGTCTTGATTCTCATCTCTTTGGCAAAAAAAGTCCTTTTCCTTGGCATATAAGGTATAGAATAACACTTGGATTGGCCTCGGCAATTCTATATCTTCACGAAGAGTGGGAGCAGTGTGTGGTGCATAGGGATATTCAGTCAAGTAATGTAATGTTGGATTCCAGTTTTAATGTTACGCTTGGTGACTTTGGGTTGGCTAAGTTGATAGACCATGAGTTAGGTCGAATTACAACAGGGTTGGCAAGTACTTTTGGCTACTTGGCTCCAGAGTACATAAGTACAAGGAAGGCAAGTAAAGAGTCAGATGTGTTTAGTTTTGGGGTGGTGATATTAGAGATTGCTATCGGAAGAAAGTCTACAGATCGAGTGGGGGAAGAGTCTGATTTGGGGTTGGTGGACTGGGTTTGGGATCTTTACGGGAAAGGAAGACTTCATTCCGGTGTTGATGAGAGAGTGAGGAAGGATTTTGATGAGAAACAAGCAGAATGTTTGATGATTGTTGGAATGTGGTGCTCTCACCCTGATAGCAGCTTAAGGCCATCAATT